CGTGCGTGCGTGCGTGCGTGCGTGCGCGGGTGTGTGTGTGTGTGTGTGTGTGTGTGTGTGTGTGTGTGTGTGTGTGTGTGTGTGTAATAGTGAGATCAATGTAACGTTACTTCTAACGTACACACGGGTTCAAAATATATAAAGTGAAATTAAAAAATTTTCATTTCTTAATGAAATGTTTATCATTTCATCATCTACGGATTAGGATAATCTCGGATTAGGATAATCTTCTTATTGCGGATGATGCAAATATAAATATACGTTGCCTTCACTATTGCATACACCAGTTACCTTTGCTCTATTCTATTCATATCTATTTTACAAACATTTATTTGTAAATTTATCGACTTGATTTGTCTAGATAGCAATATTTTAGGCAAAAAATTAATATTGATTTAATTTCGGATTCATTTGTTAAATTATTCTTCGTTCTTTATAAATTAATGGAATAATAATTTTCTATTTTCTTTAGCTAAATCTGATAACTCAGGCTATTTATTCGTTTCATTAATTAACGACGAATCAATTGATGTTGCGGGTGAAATTCGTTGGACATATAAAGCTACATTGACGACTGATTGATTATCCGTTGATTGAAGAATAATGATGAAATTTTACTTATCATCGTACCATCGCAGCACGAGCAACGAATAGTGAGCTTACAAGAGGTCAAACCAAAATTCACGTACGCATTTGTGAGCTAAATGGCAGTTTTTCCTACGTAATTGTATCGTTTTTTTTTAATCTATGCCACGAATAGTACTTCATATTGTCAACGACTTCGAAGACATCATTGATAATTCCTCGACGTTTACATTCTTTCGTGATATTGTCCTTCTAATGGTGAGAGAAAAGGAGAAAGAAATTGTGCACTATTGTGTTCAAAACAAAAAAATAAATTTATTCTGAAGCAACAAAAACAATTTGTTTTTGCTTGTCTGTGACGTCGAGCGATTCGATGGAAAATTGATATATTGCATCTAGTTAATTAACATTTATCGACAATTTACAATGACAAAAGAGTTCATGCTCCTTTTTAGAAGCATATCATTTTCCTGATTGAAATTTTCAGGGGGAGCTCCTTTACCCTTCTGTTTGAGATATTGAAAAAACTGTAAATATTCCATCGGCAGATTATGTGTATATATATTTTGTCGTACAATGTTTCTTTGTCATCAAATCGTATGTCAAATTGCATACGCTCGATGTGGCAGAGATTAGTCGCGCCTGTTGGAATTGAGTCAAGTTTCCATGTGTTGCCACACACACACATACACACATTCTCTTCCATTTTTATTCTTCTCCATTCTCTACGCTCTTTCTCATCCCCCCCCCCACCCCC